TATGTTAATAACCTGAAACCAGAAAATATGTACCAGTAAAAATTTTGATTTTGTGATCTGGAAATAAATATTTTATCTGTCATATTCCAAAATATTGCCCCATGTATTCTAAATATATAATACCATAGAAGGTAATAAATGTGTTCTGAGTAATTTTATGCTAATCATGACTTCTACTTATTAAAATACACACTTGCTATCAGACATCATAGTTTTTATTTGAAAGCTAATTCTCTTGTCTTTGGTGGGCAGGGGGCAAAGGCTAAATATTGTAGAAGTGGGACTACCTATTCCTTCAGTGGATAGAATTAGAGCCTATAATAATACAGTTATTAAAAGAAGTGTTTATTAAGCTCCAATATTATATTAGACACTGTGTTAAGCACTAAACTTTCAAAGATATATAAGTTTGAACCCCTTCCTCAATGTAGAAAACAGATTATTTCAATTCTCCATGGCATATTCAATAATAAAGGCAAGCACAAGTTTCAGTGGAACCACTTAGAAAAACTGTTGGGTCCGTGGCAGAAACCAACTAGATACCTCAAAGTGTCATGATACTAGAGTAGGAGATTAAAGGGCAAAGGCACATTATCAAATGAAACACATTAGCGTGGAGAGAGGGCAGAGGAGTTTGGGTGTCCAAAAGTAAATTACAAAGAGGCAAATGTAAGCAGAGACAAAGAAGGTGCAACATTGTGTGAACTGTGGAGGGTTATAATAAGCCAGTGGTAGTTAATAGTGAATTTAGAGCCTTTTGGTTAGAAGAGTGGTCTCCAGAGCTAGACTGCCTGAGTTCAAACCCTGGCTCTATTCCTACCAGTTTGTAACTGTGACAAGTCACTTAACCCTGTTGTCCTTCAGTTTGCTCTTTTATAAAATGGGAATGAGGATAATAATAAAATTATCCCAAAAGGGTATGATCAAGATTAAATATGCAAGATATTTATAAAGGCAAATGCCATGTAGTAAGCACTCAGTGAAAGTTACTATCATTATTTTTAAACTAGAAGAAGAAGAGAGCCAATGGGCAAGAGAGCTGATTTTAGCACCACATTCAAAAATCAACCCTGAAAACTAACTCTATTCCCAATCCTAACCTGAAGTGTCACAAATGACAAGAGAATGAATCAGGGCCAACAATGTGAATGTATTTGCAAAGCCCTGTCACCACGTACACATCTGACAATAACTCAGGAGCATCAAGTTAGTTTATGAAGTGTGTCCATTTCTTCTCTGATTTTGGAGGTAACAGCTTTTGTGCTCCTTGCATCTATAGTGATCGGCATATTGCCAATCAAAAATAACTGACTGAGGACATTGTGTTTCAAATTCACAATGCAATACAAATTCCCTGTTAAAAGGCAAATCCTTCATTTCAAATTGTTGACTCAGAAAATCCTTAAAAAAGAATTTCGGCTGTTTAAATTTAGCATGCTGAGAAAGACCAATCTTAAAATATTGTTTGGCTCTACGCCCATAACATTTTCACTTTATTCTTTGTTAGTGTTTGTCTTCTGTGATAAGAAGACAAGTGACAGTAATCATGTTAGTCTCTGTAACACTTCACATTTTACCTAAATGAACCATTTTGTTTTTATCCTCACCAGTTAAAGATGGCCTTTTGCTTCCTGGCACGTTTTCAGAAAGTGATTATGCAAGAACCAGTGATATTTCCAATTACTCTTTTACCTCTTCAGTCAGCATCTGGCCTTTCTCCCCCACTTTTCTTTGAATCATTGTTTTTCCACTTTTAAAAGGAGTATATAAAGGAGATTATCTGATGACAAGCATAATCTAATTTTTGTAATAAGACCTTACAACTATTTAAAGAAATGTTTTGAGTCTGCACTTTATCTGTGACTAAAGATCTCTACCCCACACACAGTCCAAAGAGTTTGTTATTTAGTGTCCCTTAGGACAAAGAATGTGGAGATATTTTTGGACCAGCCTTCCACTATATGATTCCCTTATTTTCTTTTTATACCTGTCTGTGTTTAGGTCTTCCAACTTTTCTCTTCCCATATTAACTGCATTATCTTCCTTCCTGGCAATGTCCCCATGTTCATTTTCAGAGTTTGTGTAGCCAAAGCAGAGCCTGAAATTGGAATGGTGAGTGTGCCAAGTTTGGATCTGGGGTCAATGCAGGTGGATTTCAGTTTAGGTGGATCCAAGGTTGGGTATCATCAGAGAAAGAAGACCACTCAAGCACTACCCACCCACAGCATCCACAAAACAATATGCTAAACCCCACCCCGATCCATAATGGAGTACAATTTTAATTTTTTTTTAGGAAGTAAAGCAATTAAGAATTAGAGTTAGTCACACTGAGTGGTTAATTCTAACCCAGCATTCACTAAATATGTTGCTTTCAGAAATTTGTTTATTCCCTCTGAGTTTGAGTTTTTTCTAAAGGGGAGAAAATGCCATCTCCCTCCTGTAGCTGTTATACCATAAATGAGAAGGCATATGTAAAGCTCTTGACCCAGTATGTGCAAATGTCACACTCAAAATAACCGTCCACTACTCATTCATTGTGTGATGAACAAAGCATATGAGGAAATAATCCAGGGCTATCAAGCAGTTGAACCTACTTCATAGTAAATACCCAAGATATTGACTGTGGTATTGGGACATACCATACGTGACTCACTTGGTCAGAATTTGCATTGGTGTTTCACAAGAGAAAGAAAATGCTATTGCTGGGAGAGGGGCAATAGGAATAGGCTTCCTCACAATTTTTCCTAGAGTTTGCTCTGGGCAAGTGCTTCTCAGCTAGAGGTATTACTCTTTAGAGGATACTGCAACAGTATTGTGCATATATAAATACAGCTCTGTTCCTGAAGGCAGCTAGAAGTGGCATCCAGGAGAGGATCATCTTAAAATGTCATTTCAAGTCTATCCATCACATCACAGTCATTATTAGTAGACAGAATTAGATTTCGTGATCAGCAGCTATCTTCATCTGGCTTGTCTGGCTACGACTCTCCCTTCTTTCAATAGTGTGCAAGAAAAAGCATCAGTCATAGGATACTAGTTCAGATACTATCCCAGCAAAACTTACCAATGGTTTTAACTTAAATTGTTAAAACAATTTAAATAATTGTTTTATTATACAAATGATTTTGATAATCTTCTTCTCAGTCAAAACAGGAGCTTTGCTTACCAGTAGGACAAGAAAGCATGAAGCAAAGGCATTGCCACCACTCAACTCCAACTACATAAGTTTCTATATTTTAAAAAATGTTGTCAAATTTTCATCAGTGATCTTAACCTAATTTTCCTTCTCTTTAGCTACATACAGGTTTCAGTTAATAATAGTTGAATCTAGAGTGTTAGGGAACTGCTTGCAAATTTCTTCCAACCATATTCTTCTATTCTTCATATAGACTTTTTCGTTCTCTTTCTCATTGGTGTCAAAAAAATTTAATCACCCTCATGTATGCACTATTGTAGCAAATATATTTCCTGAATTATATTTTACTCAGTGATTCACAAAGTCACATGTAGACTTTATGCACAGGGCTACTATGTATGTGTGTGGAATGGATCACGTATAACAAATTGGGTTTTCCAACAATGCCAAAAAATATTAAGTAAGCCTTTATACCTAGAGATCCTCATGATGAGTAGAAAATTAGCCAACACAATTCCAAAGACATTCTTGACATGTTTTATTTTTGGTAAAAGCATGAAATTTGGGGGATTAGAGAAAGAGTAGCACAATTTAAAACTGAAATTATAGGATAAGAGTAGTCCTTAGTTACCTATTTTTCTAAGGACAGATTATTTTAGAATTACTTTGCTTTTCACAATTGTTATTTCATAAAATTTGAAGCCTTCTTATCCTGTGGAATTAATGCTAGCCTATGGACGTATCCAGATTAAAATCCTAGATTCTCTTTTAGGTAATTTCTGTTTTGTCAATAATTTTTATTGGAGAAAAATGTACTAATACAGTGTTTTCTCCAATGATCATCTAACTAAGTGTAACTTTTTTGTGTAATATCTCCTTTCTGCTTGAGGGATTCCCCACCACTCACAACCACTATAAAAATCTGGTGAATGCGTCAGGACCTGGTTAGGTACCCCAACATTTTTAGATTAATTATTTCTGATCTCTTTTCTAGAAAAGACCTTCAGTATTCTGCTTGCATTCATGTTTATTCGGTCATTTGCTTTACAATGGACTGGTCCTTGCTGACCTGTTTTTAAGAGTTGGTTATCTGCAATTTGAGCAACCAGTTGAAGTTGTTTTTTAAAAGTTTTAAGCCTTCATTTTCTGCCAGTGAACACAATGCTGCTTGGTTTCTAAGTATAGAGCCATCTATGTAAAAACCTCCACTTTGAAATCACAAGAAAGAAACTGTTCAGCAAGTGGAGGAGATTATTACAGCATGAAGAAATTGAGGGAACCCTCCATGTGACACTCACTAAATAGTATTTGAATGTTTATCGTATCATCAGTGTGGCCTAGGCTGTTGCCTAGCAGTTATCTAGAGACCTACTTCACATTTTATTTTAATGTAATAAGGTAAATCAAAGACTTTTGTTTGCTTGCTTGCTTGTTTAGTTCACAGATTAGGAATAAATCTGGACTGGAACTTGTAACAATTAACTAGGGCATTTGAAAGTCTAAGCCAACCTCTTTATGAATTACCTTTTGAAAAGGCAAGCTGCTATCTCATTGGTAACTTTGAGGAGACCACTCTTGGAATTAAATTTAGAAAACATTTACCAGTTGTGTCGCCTAAAATCACAATGGACAGGGCACTTTCTGCATAGCTAATACACAAGCGGCATCCGTCTGCAAATCACAGAGCACCCCTACTATAGCATAACTAGGACAGGAGTCAGGGAGACGAACCGATTTAACATTTCACGGAGAATTCAAAGCTATGCTTCTCTAACTTTCCTCCCCATTTCTTCTCAGCTTCCCTTCCCCCGCACCACATACCCAGAAGCCACTCAATTTGCCAACCATGTCCAGTTTAACTTACTGCAGTGTGATGCAGGCGAAAGCTGGGCGCATCTCTGAAGCGAGAGCCACTGCTTTTCCGGAGAGGAACTGGGACTAGCCAGCTCTCAGGATCCTTTCCAATTCACACGCTTCCCGCACAGTAAGAAGGCTCCCACACAGCTCGGCTTCCCCAGAGGAGTGGAGCTTCAAGAACTCTGCTCACAGCATCCTCCTCTCCACTGCCACCCCCTTCCAGAACACCCGGCCCATTGGAACTAGTGTCTGAAAGATGGAAATCTACTTCCAGGCAGCAACACAGGCTGCCTGCAGTTCACCCTTCTCTGATCATTTGCAACTCAAAAACAGCGGAGGCTGAAAGACGTAGGTTTCCGGAGCCTGAAAGTCATCTTTGGCGTCCCCCTTCCCCACCTCTCACTCCTCCCACTTCATCCCCGCTCCTCTATCGCGGCCACCCCCCAGTCCTCCAGTCTCCCACTCAAGCTAGCTATCACAAATGATTATTTTATCATCCAAATCAGTAAGCAGCTGAAGGAAACAATTTGTCAGAGATGAAATACCTGTTGTCCATGACTAACGCTCTTCTTTAGTCTCTCTTAGTCCTTGATTTATGTCAAGACGCGTTGATATGGGAAGTCTGTGCTGTGCTGTGTGTGTGTGTGTGTGTGTGTGTGTGTGTGTGTGTTGAGGAGGAGGCGATTTGCGCGGCTGCGAGAACCAGCCCTGCCTATCTCTGGCTGCCGCTTCTCCAGCTGCTGTTGCTACTCTTGCTGATGGAGCTCCGGGGAAAACGAGACAGGGAGACAAGGCTATACAGCTGTTTAACTGCTGGTCCAGTTATAACAGGGGAGGAGACGGTGCAGGTGAGTGGCTGTTGAGACAGTGAGCTGGATTCACTGCAATTACTTCCACTCAGTATACATCTCAGGCAGGAAATATGATACCTGTCTCCCCTCTCCTTTCTACAACTATAGTCCTTGATGGGTCATTGTTCAGCAACCATCTGCCTAACCCACTTCTACCAATTGTAGCAGCTGCAGACGTTCTTGCTGCATTCTGGCTTGGTAACCTCGGAGCAGGTGACTGGAGGATGGATGAAGTAGAAAGGCAGTTAAATATTGAGGGAAACTCTATGTATGTGTAACCAATCAGGGCACAGATAAAATTAACAATTTTGAGCCATGTGTGTAAAATAGTGTATTAGGGTAAGAAAAATGTAAGTCAGTCAATAATCAAGATTTTTGTGGACTGTGTACAAACCAGACAGTTATTAAGCAAAATGCTTGCCAACTTACACACAGGGTATCTTGACAGAGAAGTCCCTTGGTTGCTCTTAACTTACCTATATAATATTCTCAGTTATTTCAGTGCATTAACATCTCTTCTTCAGCTACAGACTCTGGTAAAACCAACTTGTTTCTGTTTTCTATTAACTTTCATTTGCTCTCCTTATTGGCTGCTCTCATTAATCTCCAACATATTCTCATAAAAAATATGACATTCAGCAGAACTAAGAAATGGAAGACGTTCTCAAATCCCCCAAAGAATAGAATACTTCTTAATTACTAGTAACATTTGCTGTAGTAATAATCTGTCTTCACTTTCTTATTCTGTAGATTGAGTAATCACGAACAATCCCTTCTAGATACATACACACACACTCCGCTTAATTGAATAGTACTTTTAATCCACTTTCAGCCTCCAGTTGTCTGAGCTAAAAATAAACTTAATTCCTTTTGATTTCATTTGTAATGCACACCTTTAATTATTTCTGCCTCTGAGTACTTTTCATATTGGCCATATTTTTTCCCAGTTGTTAGGGCTTGTGTAATCAGGGTTAAATTAAACATAGGGGAACACAGAAAAAAAGGAAGTATAAGAAAAGACCAGAAGGAAGAAAAGAACCCAAAAGGATTAAATAATATATCTTTTCCTGACGTGTTTATATTAGAAAATTACTGCCTTTAGTTAAACAAAGACCAGTTAATGAGCAAAGCATTTATTAATTATCCAATAAATATCAATTTGCCAAGGCCAGTCTAACTTCAATTTTAACAGATTTTATCAGAGCCTAATTTTTTTAAAAAAATCATATAATACCTTAAATGCAAAGAGTATCCAGAATTTTTTAACATCAAAATTCTAATTAAACATGATGCCAAATAGCTGTTATTTTTTCTCTTCATTTGTTGTCTGTCCATTAAATAATTATTATATCACACAATTAATATTATTAAGTCTAAAGAGTACTTGTTTTATACCTGTGTACACTGCAGTGTAAGGAAGTAGGCCAAAGAAGTCTCTAGCACATACAAATACATTTTGATACAAAAGGCCAACTTTATCCACAAATGGTACAAATTTAAACTTACCCTGCTCCACACATTCATTCCTTACTAGAACTAGCAGGATCTTACCATTTATAGATTAGGAGGGTTTTCTTTTTGATTTTTTGGTTATTGTTTTTTGTTTTTACCCTTACTCCTATTTTGAAATTAAATAATATTTAGGAAGAGCACTAACACTTTAAACATTATTGAGAGACATAATTTATTAGCTATCTTCATTCTAAATAAGGAGTCTAAACATCTGGTCTGGGTAGAGATGGAAGAGCCACAACATGTTAAAATAATTGGTAATGAGTAGTTAGCATCTATTTTGTTAGTTTTTTTTTTTTTTTTTTTTCACAGCTTATAGCATTACTAAGATTCACCTTAACAAAAAACAAAAAAAAAAAAAAAAAAAAAAAAAAAAAAAAAAAAAAACAAAAAAAAAAAACAAAAAAAACACTCTCTTAAAACTACAAGATTTGGTAACAGAGGAAGAAAATTTTCAGTTAAGGATTGATGACTGAATTTTATTCCTGACTCATAACTCAAGATTTTCCATTTTGTGGGAAAACTTACAAATCACTCCCTTACAACACTGTGCCCATTTCTCCAAGATGCCTCTCTGCTCCCATCACTATATTATCAGAAACTTCATGGGAATCTGTTCATCATTCATCAATCTAAAAAATAAGTAAGAGAAAAATGAACTTGCTCTATGAACACTAATTTGTCAACATAATCATCAGTTTGTGAAAATACATAGAAAGGAATCATATTAATTTTCATCTACATCTCCTTCATCATCAAAACAAGTATTCCCAAATTAAATTCTGTACTTTAAAGACACTCATTTACTGAAGAGAACCCAAAAGTTTGCAAACTGTACAACAGTAGAAGCAAGCTATGTTTGCTTAGTTCATCCATGTGTCTCTAGCATCTATTAAACTGCTTAGAAAGTGGTATGTGCACAGTAAAATAACTTTGGAATAAGTGAGTGAATGAATTAATCTATGAGTGCAGGGCATTGGGAAGATAAGTGAGCTGGAAATAAGGGTGTTTGAATTCTTTTCGTCTTTTTTTCTGCTGCTAAATAACTGGCACTTTAAGGATGTGATGCACTTCTCAGGGTTTCCAAGTGTCCTTTCATGTCTATCACTCACAGGCTCCACAAAACTACACAATAATGCCTGTCCTTAAGATTCCTCCAAAATGAATTTTCTACTATACAGATTCAATCAATAAAGTTATTTAGAATCTAATTTCCTGACCATTTTCAAGGTCCTATTTAATCCCTAAGAAATGCACAGCTCTCTACTCCCCTTTGACTTCTATATCCCTACCTAGTCTTGTGATTACTGGACTAGAGCCTTAAAAAAAACAGATTGTTACACATTTATGTGTGCTTGCTTCTAAAATGTTAGTCATATATCAAGGATTACAAGCAAGACAACTTTCATTTACCTTTCATCACTTTTAATAAAGTAATTCTTAAACAAACAAAATAAATGATGAGAGATAGAGCTTAAATTGTAAAGTATCAGAAGTTATTGAAATTAGATAGAAATCTATCATTTTTGGTTTTGTTTTTTTGAGATGGAGTCTCATACTGTCACCCAGGCTAGAGTGCAATGGCATGATCTCAGCTCACCGCAACCTCCGCCTCCCGGGTTCTAGCGATTCTCATGCCTCAGCCTCCCAAATAACTGGGATTACAAGCGCATGCCACCATGCCCAGCTAATTTTTGTATTTTAGTGGAGACAGGGTTTCACCTTGTTGGCCAGGCTGGTCTCGAACTCCTGACCTTGTGATCCACCAACCTCGGTCTCCCAAAGTGCTGGGATTACAGGTATGAGCCACTATACTCGGCCTCCAGAAATCCATCTTTAATCACAGCACTTTATGTAAACTGGTGCTTAAAAATTACTTTGTCATGTTAATTTTATTTAACAAACATTTATTAAACATCTATTATCTGCAAAGCATTGGGAAAAGAAACAGTTCAATAGGATATAGCTTTGTCTTTTAAAGAATATACAATCCCATAAATAAAGGTATTCTCACTTTAATTTTTTATATGAGTATTTTATCTTTCAAAAAAATTAAATTGCTCAATAATTTAAATCCTCACCAACTTTGGCTTTAATGATGAGAGGAGAGCTACTTCCTAAATTTAGCAAAGTGTCGTATGGGAACTTTTCCACTGGTTTTAAATCAATGAATCAGTGGGACATAAACTGGAAGGCTAGGAGAGATTCAGAAAAGACATGATATTGCGCTCCCCTTGAAAAGAATAATGATCACAAAATATGGGATTTGATAGGTCTTCGGATCTCTTTGGGTCCAATTCTCCTCTTTTACAGGAGAGGAAACTAACAAAGTAGATCACCGTCACTTATTTCTGGGCAGGCCATTTACAGGTCTTTCCACTGGACTTCCTGGCATTGTCACAAAACAGACCTGCTTCAATTCCCAGCTAGGTCAATTACTGGCTCTATGACCTTGGGAAAATAATTTTTTCTACACCTTAGTTTCCTCACCTATAAAATGAGGATGCCTATAGGACCTACCCCACAGAGTGGTTGAGAGAATCAAATAACGTGTCATGTGTGAAGCACATAGCACAGTGCCTGGTAGCGTTCTGCGTGTGCACTTACATGTATACGTGCATGAACACACACACGTGCACAGGTGTAATGGTTTTCATAACTGTGTACCATATCTTCATTGAAACCATAATTTCTGAAGTTAATATTTAAGTATATGACTTTCAAATTATTCTTATTTCTTTATACATAAAATGTAACTGAATGGTGATGGCAGAATCTGAATGATTCTTAGGGGCAACAAGCTTATTGTTGACCTAGTAGGCAATTTTTTAAATCAGAAAGCGAATTCTTCCTCTGCTTCAGTGAAGGTACCTGGTATTATAAAGTGGTCTGAGCAATGATACATAATATGAATTAGTGAAGAAGATATTCAGTCAAACTTTCTGAGGCACCCACAATGTGTGAAGTCCTAAGCTGGACGCAT